CCTTTTTACCGAAGTATTTTTCTTTTATTTCTTTAATCTTAGGATCAATAAACTTAGTTTTCTTGTCTTTGTAAAAGTTATGAATGGTTGAGAAGTGTTTTGTACATTCTTGGGTTAATGTATTGCTAACTGTTTTTAAATTTTCTTTTAGTTTGGTTAGGTAAGTGTTAAAGGTGGTAGAATAGGATGTGCATAGTACAGAACAAACTAAGGAAATAAACAGCATTCTTGTAAACTTCATTTATGGGTTATTTTTCTTTTTTTTTATTTAATTTATAAAAATTAATTAATTTATCTCAAAAAAATATTAAAAATTAATTTAAATCAAAAAATATTTAAAAAAATTAATTTAATAAATTAAAATAAAAAAACAATTATTTTTATTAAATTTAAAGAATCTTTTCTAATATTAGCTTAAACTTTAAAATACAGAATTGTTTTTTTATAACCTGATAGAATAGTTTTCTAATATTAGCTTAGGCTTTAAAATACAGAATTGTTCTTTTATAAGTTGATACGAATAGTTTTCTAATATTAGATTAGGCTTTAAAATACAGAATTGTTTAAAATAAAAGCACTGTGAAGAAAACCTTACAAACCTGTATTTTTTTAAGATGTAAATTTTAAAAATAAATTGATTAATTAGCATCTTATATGTCAAAAAAATTTAGTTTAAATTGTTTGTTGCTTAAGGATGGGAAATCCATTGAGTATACCTTCTATTAATTATATAAGATACCATTAATTAATAAACATATTTTAAGATATGTTTTCTATATTTAAGGTACTGCAGTATTTCATCCGGCAAAATTTGTATTTTAATGTCATGTTTTTGTGGCACAGATTTAAACAGGATATGTGTGTTGTATGCTTGACATACGCACATTTTTAATACAACATTATTTTGACATCTTCTATTTAATGTTAAAACCTAAAACAAACAAGACATTTTAATGATAAAATTATTGGCTGAGAACATTATGAAAATTTAAAATACGAAAAGAATAACTTTAACAATCTTACAAATAAAATCTGTATTTGTCAAATTTATTCGATATTATTCTTCTGATAGAACAATTATAAAAACTTTTTTCATTAATGTAATATTTAATGTTATCTACTTATTCTGAGTATGGTAATTTCTTTCCGTATTATGTTTTGATTTGTTTTAAAAAAGATGTTTTTTTAATGCTTTTATTAAAATTATATAAAAATAAATTGTTAATTTTTTACTAAATTATTAAATAATATTTAAGTTAATTACATTTTGTAAGACACTCATAACAAAGTGAAAAATTTTTTAATTTTTAATTTTATTAAATTTTTTATTTTTTTAGAAAAAAAAATATAAAAATATAATTTAAATAAATAAAATATTCTAAAATCTAAATAAAATTTCATTTTAAAACAATGCTTTGAAATAACTGAGAGTACATACAAGCCATTTCCTAAGCTTCTTATACTTGTCAACCGTCTTATTAGTCTTAGACCTCTCTTCAGTAAACTTCTGTGCATATTCATCCTTAACATCATCACTGGTTGCTTCTTTAATCTTTCTAAGTTCTTTGTCCATTTTATTTATGGACCTCTTTAGAATCTCTTGGTCTTCACTNAAATATGCTTTAGCTCTTTTGATATACGTCTCAATTTTTACCAATTCATCAGAAATCATTTCTTTTATGCTCTCAAATACTTTTAACAAATCTTTCATTTTGCAATACAACATTTTTGGGTCTGGTAATTTATGCTGATCAATGTTTAAAATATCTGAGAATTGAGGCCATGGATCTGCTATGCCATTGTATTCAAATATTGCTTTGATAGATTTGCCTACCTCAGGGTTCATTTCTATCAATGTATCTAAAGCAGATTTCTGTGGCTTAGGTCCTTCAGTTATTTTAGTTGTAACCTTTGTAGGCTTAACCTGTTGTGCTGTTGGTTGGGAAGGGATCATTTGAGTTTGTGGCATTTGCAATGGAACAGTGCCAGGAGGACAGTTTACTGCTGTATTATTAGGTATCTGATAGTAGCAATTAACTGCTGGGTTAGGGTCTTGTCTGCCAAAATTTAAGAATGTGATTATCAAAAACATGTTTCTCTTCAGCATGAATTGTAATTATTATCTTAATTTGTATTTTACAAAATATTCTAAAACAAAATTGCATCACTTTGAACCAAAATGTGTTACAAAATTCAGCATAAAAATTTACCAATAAAAAATGATTTAATTAAAAAGGTGGCTAGCAGAAACGGAACAAGCTTCCTGCCAGCCTGGTTGTTGGTAAGAGTAACCAAGCAGAAGCAAGCTTCTGCTCTGGATACACAACAACCATTAACTCTGATGAGTTAATGCCAGATTTTACCCTGGCTTGAACAGATACTACACTTGATCAAAGCTATAAGCTTTGAGAGGTAAGGGGTATTTTTTTGAAAATATAAATAATAAAAAAATAATTTATTTTTTAAAAAAAGACATTAAATTTTTATGTTTTTAAAACAAATTAAAATTTAAAAAATTCTTTTTTTTCCTTACTGTCGTATCCTGAGGGATATGACCTGAATAATAAGTGTTTTGAATAAATGGATTTTATCTTCTGCTAATTTAAAATTCCTGCTCTGTTAGACATGGGTATTTTTTATTCAGAAAAATATAAATAAAAAATAAATTAGAAGATTGAGGTTTCGTACTTATGTCTAAAAAAATATATTTTGAAGATATAACACTTACTTAACAAAATAATTTAAAACAAGTTTCGATAGTAAATTGTATTTTTTATTGAATTGAATTTAAAATTCTTTACTTTTAAATTTTAATTATTTCTTATAACATAACATCTAAAAAAACGTATAAAACAATAATAATATTTTTAAAACAATAATCATAAATAAAATTACAAAAATAATATTGATAAAAATTAAAATAAAATTAAAATAATCTATAAAACAATAATAATATTCAAATAACTTATAAAACAATAATAATATTTAAAAAAAATAATTATATTAATTTTTTTATTTTTTTAATAAACTAATCCTTTAATTAAATATCAAAATTAGGGTGTATAAACACATACTCTCCTTCCATAAACAAAACACCTTCCTTTTCAATCAAAAAATCAATTGTTAATTCAACATTACTTTTTTCATTAAAATAATCTTCTTCACTAAGTAAATTATTTTCTATTCCTTTTAAATATTCATCAATTAATATTTCTTTTGTTAAATTATCCTTTACTTTTAATAAATAAATTAAATTATTTGTTATTCTTTCATAATCTTTGTAATTCACTTTTTTACTTTTTTCTTTGCATTCTAAAATTAAATCTTCTTTCTTTACTTCTAACACGGAGGATTTAATCAACCTGAATGCTTCTGAGACGTACACTGGTTTTACTTCTAAATCACAATGTATCTTTGCTATTGCTTCACTTAACCTGATCATACTTTCTAAATTTCTTATGGTAATCTTGTAATTATTGTTGCTTACTAAACTTTCTTGCCTTAAAAGAATGTATTTTTGTAAAAGAAGTTCTTTTGCTTCTTCTGTGAGACATGGTTGTAAATTTCTACAATAAATTAAGTAATTTTTTAGATCTTCATTCTTAAAAAATATGTTACTTTCTTTGCTAAAATGGTTTTGTAAAATAAAAGTGGCAATGTTCTCATCAGAATTTCTGTCTATTTCATCAATCAATACAAAATATAAATCAAACCTGGACATAATTGGTGCACTTAAATTAATATTCTGTCTTAAGGTTTTTTTCTTGTCGTATCTNCCATTTATTGGATTGGCTGCTGCTAAAATTGAACACTTGGCATTCAAAGTTGCATTGATACCTGCCTTAGAAATAGAAATGGTTTGCTGTTCCATGGCTTCATGAATTGCCACTCTGTCATTTTCATTCATTTTGTCAAACTCATCAATACAACAGTAACCATTGTCACTTAACATCAATGCACCAGCCTCAATGGTAAATTCTCCTTCCTCTTTCACCACACAAGCAGTTAATCCTGCAGCTGAGCTTGATTTTCCACTGGTATAAATTGATCTGTCCATAATTTTGCTACATTGCTTTAAAAACTGACTTTTTGCTGTTCCTGGATCACCAACCAGTAAAATATTTATGTCTCCTCTCAGTTTAATATTCTCTTTTACTTTTTTTACCCCACCAACCAACATCAATAAAATGGCATTTTTTATGCTTCTATGCCCAAAAATGTTAGGAAAAAGACTTTCACTCATTCTTTCATAAACACCTTTCACTCCTTCATAAACATTTAAAAAAGAATGATTCATTTTATTCTCTGACTGTAAATTAGAAATATTTTCTTTTTCAAATAATATTTTAGAAATACTTTCATTTTCCACTTCAATTTCATTTTGTGACACGTTTGAGCATAAAAAAACAAATTTTTGGTTTACTCCTTTGACATTCAAATAATTTTTGTTGCCAGAAATTAAAGGAATGGTTTTACTTTGTGGGAGCATTAAAAATAAATCTTCAGGAACAACTATGAGTGTTCCTGTAAAGAGTGTATTACTACCTGGTTTTACACTTTCTACCAGTTCATCTCTTAAAATTACATCAATGGTTCTGGGGAGTGCACCTGGTGGTATTTCAGTTGTACTTTCTTGGACTGTTACCTTCTGCCAATTAGAAAAGGTACTTTCATCCATTTTTAGGTCCCATGACTTTCTGTTCGCACATAATTTGTTAAGACAGTAAAGTGGTTCAGTAAATTTGAACTGTTGAGGTATTTTCTTAGATTTCTGGTTACATAACTTACAAAGAAACACTCCTTCAACAAGCTCAGGTCTGACAACACTACTTCTGGTAACTGTCCCAGTAAAAGAAATGAGTGTGCCAAGTTTTATTGATTTTAAATCTCTAAATTTATGCAAATAAGTGTTATAAAATGATAATTGCCATTCTGNAGTGTTGGTGTGTTGAGAAACAAACAATAAAAAAGTATTTTTTAAGTCTTCTAAGTTTATAAAGAAATTTTTTATGATTTCTAAGTGTAAATCAGAGGAATAGGTTTGAATGTCTGATAAATCAATGGAAAAGAGTCTTTTATTTGTGTTTATGAGGTTATTCAGTTGGGTTGTGTATTTTTTGGATGATTTTAAGAAGTTTAAAAATGATTCTTTTAGGTTTAAAGTTCCTTCCATGAGGATTTAAATTAAAAATTAATTAAAATTAATTTATTTTTTTATAAATTTCTTATTTTATAAATTTCTTATTTTATGATTTATTTTTTTATAAAATTTATTTTTTTATTAATTAAATTATTTTTTTTATAAATTTTTTATTCTTTAAATTATTTTTTTTATAAATTATTTTTTTTTAAAAAATTAAATTTTTTTTTAAATTTATTATTTTATAATTTATTTTTTTATAAATTGATTATTTTATAAATTTCTTATTTTAAAAATTATATTTTTTTATAAATTTCTTATTTTATAAATTATTTATTTTATAAATTATTTTTCCAGCCCAAGCATGAAATTAGTGTTAGACAAAACATACTTGTCTCCCCCAAAGCAAATTTATCATTATAAAAACAGGACAGAAGACTTTATTGCAGTGTTAACAGAACATACTCTCACGCTCTACAAATCAAAATCATTTAATATACTTTGTGTTCTACCATTAAAAAATTATAGCAATTTAATTCATGCAAATAACACTTTTTTTCTTTGGAAAAATAATTCTTTTATTTTTTTAAAAAATTTGGCTGTCAAAGAAGAATTTTATTTTGATAAAAATTTTTGTTTGCATAAAACACCAGTAAATGACTTAGAAATAAAAATTGAGAAAATGGTGGCTTACCAGGAATACTTACTAGTTTTAGTCAACAATACTGTTTTGTTTCTTAAAGATTATGAGGTTGTACATTCTATCACCATGCAAAAAAGAATTTTAAATTTGAAAGTGAAAGGTGAAGAAATTTTTATACTTTTTTCTAATTCATTTATGATTTATAATTTTTTAACCAAAGAAGAACAAACTTTTGAAAACTTAGACAATTTTTCTGATTTTTTTATTACAAATATAAAAAATACAATCTTTTTACACTCTGATAAACTTACTTTGTTTAATTATAAAACTAAGTTTACTTTCTCTTTTGATCTAAGTAACGTTAATTCTGTTTACTCCAACTCATTTTTATACATTTCTTCACAGAATATTACATTTATCTATGATTTAGATACCTTACAAATGATTGGTCAGTTTAATGGTACATTACTTAACAATACAACACTTTTAGAAAAAGAATTAGAAATTATTAAGCATAAATTTTATGATAATAATTTAATAATAGAAGATATTTTATTTATTTATGAAAATAATGAATTAATTTATAAAAATAAATCAATTTCACATAGAAGGATTGTTAATACAAAAGTAAATCAAATTAATTATTTATTTGATAAATTTTATTTGATCAATGATAATGAATTATTAAGTGTACATTTATCATGTATGGACACAATTAATAAGTTTAGTAAAACAAAAGAAATATTTAAAAGTAAAAGTAAATTTATGATTAAAAAAGGAAAAATACCAATTTTACATAATATTAACTCAGTTTATAGGATTAATAAAGGAAATGAGATCAGGTTAGTGGATACTAATGGTAATTTTGAGTATATTAATTTTAGTTATGAGTATCCTTATTATGTTTATGGTAAGAAAGAATTGGTAGTTAAGGATATTTTTAACAATGTTTATATTTTTAAATTAACCAATCAAGAAGAAATAACTGACTGTTTTATTTATGAAAAATTAATTTATTTATTAATTAATAATCATATTTTAATTTATGATTTAAAAAAAGAATTTAAAAAAATAATCAAATTAAATGAACAATTTAGAAAAATAAAAATAAAAGAAAATATTATTTTATTAAGTAATGATACAAAGGTAAGATTAATAGAAAAGAATACTAATGTTTTAATCAGAGAGTATGAATTATTTAGTAATAAAATTGAATTGACAGACTGTCTTAATTATTTAGTAATACAAAATGATAAATTAATTATAATTAATTTAAAAAATAATAAAAAAATAGAATTGTCTGAAAAAGTAAATGATTTTATTTTACAAAATAATTATTTATTTTTGGGTAGTGATGAAGGAATAAAAAGATATTCTATTATTCATGAACAAGAAATAAGTGAGCCAAGTAAGATAGGATTTTTTAATGATGTTTTAGAGAATAAGATTGGGAATGAGTTTGTTGATTTATGGGAAGAAAAAGAAGAATTATTGGTAGAGTTATTAGGATTAATTAAATAATTAATTATTTTTTTATTTAATTTTTTATTTTATTTAATTTTTTATTTTATTTAATTAGAATATTTGTATTTTTAAAATACTATAATAAATTAATAATTTTACTCATCAAAATATTCGT